TGAAAAGAGGCTGTGGACTGAAAAAAAAAAAAAAGAAAAAAAATAAAAAGCCCCGGGCTGAAAGGCCTGGGAAGGCCTGAGTGACAGGGGGGCCGGGGGAGGGCAGGGGAAGGACTATGTGTATCCAAGCAGCAGAGACTGCAGCCTGACGTGTGGTTTTAATGACCAACACGCAGGTCAAAAGCATTTTGCACAGTGTTTGTTTTCCTGTCTTGCACTTACAAATAAGGTCTATGGGAGTAGCATGGAAAACGTTTGCTGTTTTTCCTTTTTTTTTTTTCTTTTTTTTTCTCTGCTTTTGTTTAAAATTTGATCGCCTTAACTACTGTAAACATAGCCTATTTTTGTGCTTAAGATACTGAATGGAAAACTCCATTGTGTATTGCTGGACTGTTTTGGAAATATTTGGTCAAATGTGTGTTAATTTGGCTGTAATGGCATTTAAAACAAACAAAAAAAAAAGCTGTGAAAATGGCCTTGGAGCGTTATCTTTAGTTACTTGAATAGTTTCTAGGTTTTAAAACTACATTCTTTTCTTAAGTTAGAAAAGACAATCAGTGTCTGAGGAAAATGGACTTTCTCTTGGATTTTTTTGTGGTCCTCGTGAGTGATTGCTTTTTTCCTTTCCTTAGTTTCACATTCTTCTTTTGTTCTAAAACTTAGACTGACATCTAGCTTTGACAATCATAGTATGTTTTATTTTCCTGAGGGGGGAATAACTTATAATGCTGTTTAGTTTTGTACTATTGGTGTGTTGGTGAATTTTTAAACTGTGTGCTAACTGCAATAAATTATATGAACTGAGAAATCAATTCCCTTGTCTTTTTTCCCTCTTTTAAATTATAGTTATGGAGTATTTTTTATAATGTGTAACTTTATTACTTTTGTACAGACTTCTATTGCTAACTGTGTATGGAATATGTTTTCAGTATGCTTTTGAGCACTTTGTTGCTAACGTACATACTTACATCTCACTTAACATTTAAAAAAATTAAATGCTTGTGTTTTGAAAGCATTTCTGTGTGTGTAGCTCTTGGTCATTCTGTAGAGGGATTTTTTAATCAGTATTTTTTTTCTTCCCCAAAGACTTTTGCAGAAGCAATCTATTAAATTTCAGAAATTTTGCTACCATGCAAATATCTGTACAGACACACGATTCCTTTTCTGGGTTTAATTTCAGCCCACGGAGCTCTCTCGGGCTCACTCTTTTGTATTCAGTCTCTATCAGAATGTTAGAGCAGAAGGCAACAACTTAATCTGAAGCCCTGGCCGGGTACTGACTGGCAGTCAACACTACAGAGCAAGTAGGCAGTCAAAATGTCCAAAATACCGGCAATACATCAGAACTGTGGGGATTACAGAGGAAAATTAAAACAATCCTAAATCTATTTGGGGATTTCTCTTACAGACTGTTTCTTTAAAAAAAAAAAGAAAAAAAAAAAATGAAGCTTAGCAAAACCTTTGAAAAAGACCTGGTTTAGATGCTTGTTGCAGGATATACCCAGAATTCTTGTTCGAGGCCACTCCATCCTAGGAACAAGACCAGCGCTGCAGAGCCCAATGGGAATATGAAAGTAGAGCTAAATTAGAAGTCTGCATCAGAGACAGCAGGACTGATCTGAATCGGGGGGAAAAAAAAAAAAAAAAACAAAACATTTCCTTACGTTTGTCATCTGCCTAGATACAACTTCAGTTCTACCTTGACCAAGTGACTCTCAAATGCCTGGTGCTATTCTGCTGATCTTCCTACGTCTATAGTAATTTATACTTAGAAAAAATTATATTTTTTTGCTGTTTTATAGCAATTTTCAAGCATCATTTGCTGTGTTTGGGTTTTTCCAATTATTACAGCTATTTTGAAAACATTTCCTTTTGTCAGTGTCTACAGCCACATAGATGTCTCTTTTTCTAGCAGCAGACCTTTTCTGTAGGCTTTCATATGATAGAATATTATGCGTAGTTAAGACGGTTTAAAGTATTGTCAAGACTGAAAACCAGCTAATATTGCAGTTCTGAAATCCGTGCAGCTGATGAGCTTTGCATGTGGCTCTAGGCAGATTCACCATTTGTTCTCCAACATCAAGATTTTCAAGGCTCGTAGATTCCCAAATAAGACTTAGAAGGAGCCCTTCTTCAGAAGGGTAACAGAAAACATAACTTAGCCATTAATGACAAAATAATTCAAAATATCCTTTATACTTTGGGGTTTTATCTAGATGGGATATACATGTGCAGCACACACTTGCTTGTGGCTATCAAAGTGTGTCTTCAATGAAAAGATGAAACATACTCCTGTGTGTTGCTTCTCTCCATAAGGTTGAATGTACTGACATATCTAAATAGCTGTAACTTTTTTTTTCTTTTCTTTTTTTTTTTTCTTTAATACAGCCCCTAGATAATGAAGCATGAGAACATTGTATTTGGTTTGAGGATACGCGGTAACAAAATCCTCACCATTCATGTTGCCGTGATTGTCGAAGGCAAATTGCGGGAATGGAATCTGTATGCTCTAAAACTCCTTCGGTTCAGAAGACTTTCTCTGACGGGTGATAGTCATCACTTTTTAACTGTGAGTACTTCTAGCCCAAGACTCACAGGGAATATGCTAAATATATCATTTGGCTATTTTTTTAACCACTGCCTGTGATAGCTTGATGCTCTCTGATATGAATGATTTCTCTAAACTCAAGCTTAGGGGCTTGGTGTAACAGATTTTGAATCAGGTATGGCATCCTGCAGACCATCTACTTACTGAGACCTTTGTGTGTTTTAACTGCAATTTGAAGAAGAACTTTGACGGTCAGAGTTATAAACAAAACTTTCTGGCCAAGGAACGGAAGGGATCCTCGCTGATCTTCCCACTCTCACGTGTTAGGGAAAAAGCGAATACCAAGCAATCCCGTATCCTTCTGCTGAGCCTCAGCAAAACCAGCATATCCCTTCAAAACTTGCAAAACCTTGTTGGAAGCCTAAATAAAATTTCAAAATTAATTTGCAAAGGACAGACTTGTTTCTCCCCCATGTGAGCTCACCTGGGCAGCCGTGCCGGCTCACCTGCTCAGGAAGGACACTGCCGTTCTCTCCCTCCTGCAGCATACCCTCTGCTTTCCTTCTACAGGTAATGGCTCAAGTGATTTGTCGGTGGTGGACTGACCTTTTTTTCCCCCTAATTAATTCTACAGTAGTCAAATATTCTAACTTTTTAATGGACTTCTAATATATAACTTCAAGAACACATTTTTCCAGCCTACTTTCAAAAATGAAACCCCAAGCTCTCCTTTTTACGATCAGTGATGCTGCAGCAATTTGTCACTGAGGAGAAAACTTGGAAGGGGAGAAAATTTCTACCTGCTCCCTCCTCTCACTTTGAAGCAATTCAGATTCCTTCAGAATGAAGGTGAAATACTTTTCAAGTCTGGAAAAATTCCTTAAAATTAGAAAACTGATTCTAAAATATTGTCATGTAGTCCTCCGTAGCAGGGGTCTCCAACTTCTACATCATTAACACTATTTGTCCATGTGATTTCCAAACTGAAACATTTCCAGAGGGTATGGGCTTTTATTAAAGCAATCTGACCAAAGCATTAAGATTTTTTTACTGGGATGGTAAAATGAACTTTAACAGAACTGCCTGATATTTTTAAAGGAGGAAAAAGGGATACACAGATCTTCCAGCCTCTTTCAACATATTCTAGTCCAGGGGTCCTTGTTTAATTTTTGTTGTGCTTCACTCATGATTTAATCATGTCATTAAATATAGTGAGTTTGGTAATAAAAAAAAATATCTTCTAGATGGTAAGAGAGGAGTTTTTTCTTTATTTGTATGAATGCTTTTGGGCAGAAGGTGGGAATGTTCCCTTTTGCCAGCAAATGAAAGTAGTCACAAGAGCTGCTTATTAAAACCCCCAGTCCGCAGCTCCTGCTAGCGCGATGAAATTCGGCTAAACCTGTTAATGGGTCTTACCGATGAGAGATTACATCCTTTTCAGAAAGATTATCCATTTTAGTCTTGGAGGCTAAAAAAGAAGCGTTACTTTGAACCGATTGTCAAATGGAAATGCTCTCGGTGCAAACACCACCCGGCTCTGCCAGAGCGAGCCAGGGGTGAGTCTCGGCGCAGCCGGGCAGCAGTGAAGCCAAAGGTGGTACGGGCTTCACCGTGACAGTGACAGCAAGTGCTGCAGAGCTTTCGAGTGATAGAGGTGTTTGCAAAAAAAAAAAAAAAATTTTTTTTTTTTAAAAAACAATCCCTGTTTGACCTGGAGTATTTCTCTTACGTTGGAATTTCTTGGATTAGTTAATTTTTCAGACTGACAGACCTTGCCTAGGTTGTCTGATTATAATCTTCAGGTTCATTTTGCTTTAATTTAGTTTCTTACTTTCAGGTTTTTCTCTTAGAAGAGAGTCACTCCACTAATATACGATTGCCTTTGTGCAGAATATACGCAGTTTTCATTCTTGGTAACTCCTCAGCATTAACCATTTGTAGCAGGGCCCACAGGTGCTCACCCCCGTGTGCAAACACTCCGCAGGCTGGGACAGACGTTGTGCCTCCTGTACCACGCCTGGTACTGTGTGGCCAAATTTTCTTTTCTTTTTGG